CTGGAAGTCAATATAGTCAAACTAAAAGATAATGGAACACTCCAAAAAGGTTCTAATTTAATGCAATATCGGCAGGAGCGGGTATTGTTTCCAGTTAGGATTTTTAGAAGTCACAGGAGAGAAAAATACTGACGCGGAGGNTTTGGCAATACAGTTGATCATCACCCGTTAAAAGTTCCATTTTCTGATAATATGACGACTGGTTATCAGTCTTGAACATTTACTATAAAGTAAACAAGTGAGATTTTTTCCATTAAAAAAATTACTAACACAAGACGAGATAGACTATACGGAAGAGTACTCAACACGAATCTCAATAATTTGGATCAATCCTCTTGTTGTCCTAAGAAGACTCCAGGAAATCGGTTAGTGGAGAAGATGATAGATTCTTTCGAAACTGCAATTGCATGAACAATTGTCTGAGTTTGGTGAATAAATAGGAAACATTCTCGTTCTCGTTCATAGTTAAAACCTTGTTCTTGAAATACTTCGTCATGAACAACACTTGTAAAATGCTATTCATGTAGCAAGTGTTTCCTAAATTATCTAAAATGAATTCATGTATAACTAAATTTGTAAATACTATGCTGGTACATAATATAAGTTGACAAAGGCAATAATTTATCACAATACAAGAAAGTGAGCATCATCGTAAAACTCCTGTAGGGTATAATAGGATTATAGCAAGATATTTTTTTGCACTTTTTCACGAAAAATATGGTGTATGGAGATTTCTCTCAAACAGGGTGGCAAATTGTTGTATAAATTTTTTTCTCTCCTACATTATTGATTTTTTCGTTAAATTTCAGTAGGGAATGGGAAGAGGTAAGTTTTTTCTTGTTATTTGATTAGTATTATGGCTTGTTCGAGTGTGCTCAGTATCGGAGACGTAGGACATGTGCTTATACTCCAAACATAGAGTTTCAAGTATAAAAATGGAAGGTATAGTAATAATTCTGTGTTTTATAAATAACGGTTTACAATGGTCAGTGTATTTAGCTTTGGACATGAATCTGACTGCTCGTTTCTGCAGGACGAAAACAGAATCGAACAATTGCTTGCTGCAATAACCCCAAAATGCAATACCATATCGCAGCTATGATTCGATTAGAGAAAAATATGTCACCTCACTCATTGGCAGACCCAGTTTGTCAGACACAACTCTCACTGCAGCCCGAAGCCCGGTTCCTTCTGAGACTTTGGATGTGACATGGAATTTTGGGTTACTATCAATTCTAATGATACAGAGTTTGTTTTCAATGGTTGTAGTGTCAAATATAAGAGGTTCATGAATGTATTTGGAGGTGAGAAGGCTAGTTTTTTTACATTGAAGCAGGGATGGTTTGAGTCGCACCAGTGATTTACTTTCTTCAAATCATCTTTAATTTTTTATTTTATTAACTCAAAATTAGAATCCTTCCACATTAGTGCCGTATCATGAGCAAATATTGTGAACTGTACCTGTATATTACTACTGACCAAGTCATTCATATATAATAGAAATAATACCGTCCCAAGGACTGAACCTTGCGGAACGCCACTCATGATATTACGTAATTTGGAGTTGTTCTCATTCATTTTCACAAGTTGCCTCCTGTCAGAGAGGTATGACTCGAAGCAATTGTAGCTTACATCTCTAAATCTATCTTTTGAAGCAGTACCCCGTTATTGACGCAGTCAAAGGCTTTCGACAAATTGCAGAAAACTGCCTCAACTGCTGTACCTGATTCATCCCTCATCCGGTCTGGAATTCAAACTGGGCCTTATTCAAGATGTTTTCGTCTTGCAAAAACTGCAGCATCCTTTTTTTGACAAGTCTTTAGATCACCTTAGAAAGACATCACTTCTTCATCGTTGGAAAATCTTTGACCTTTCAAGTTTGGGAACTGAAAATAATGTGAGGGGGCTGAATATGGCGAATAGGGTGCATGAGCTAGCAATTCAAACTTTAATTCGTTAATTTTGGTTATTGCGATAATGGTTTTCCGAGATGGTGCATTGTCTTGATGAATCAATACTTTTTTTAGCTAAATGCGAGCGTTTTTGCTTGATTTCTTCTTCCCTTAAACGTTGCAATAAATCCACGGTTCATCCGGGGTTCAATGTTTGTTTTACAAAGCCTAAAGCGATGCCAATGACAGGTTCAGGTCCGATGAAGCTGCTTGCAGCACCCTTTTCTGCAAGGGGAGTCAGCAGTTTCATTGCCTTCCTGTCCAGATACAATCTGTTGAGTCTTCCTATCGGGGAGAGTTGCTTTTGGCAATTTGCTACCAATTTAGACATTGCTCGGTAGGAGCCAAGAGCTTCCAACGCCGCTCGACTGCTCGAGAATATTTTTATTGACTTGTGTATGAGGTTGGATTTATCCAATCTCTCCGCACACAATTCAATAGCGTATTGTAACACATAACCATGACCAATTTTCTCCAGTCTCACAAATTCACCGAAAACGTTCGCTATTAAAGGCTGTCGAACAAATACTGAACAACGCAGCGTCTTCAAACTTAAAACATATGCTTTATGGAATGTGTACTTTCTAATACAGGAATATTTTTCAATCACATCGCCATCTCTAGGTCAGACCTAGTACTTCTGGGATCACCCTCGTAAACTTTCTTTTAGATACAAAAAAATACATTGTCTCATGAGACATACTGAAATATTTGTATAACTGATAAAAATTCGTTCATAATGGGTGATTTTTTCCGTACAAATGAGGTAATTTTACTATTAAAACTAAGCTTGAACTGTTTATGTATAGCGAAACACTTGTCGCGGTTTTTGTAAAACCTTTTATAGTGAAAAACCTTTATAGTGAAAATCATACAATAAACTGTATTTATCAGTTTCAATATGGATTTTTATCAAGTATCGGCCAGTTCTATTCAATTAATTTCACTAGTATTTCAGATCATTTCAAACTATATCGCCGACTAGAATGTTCCATTTCAAACTATATCGCCGACTAGAATGTTTTGCAAGGTATAATTCAATCTTGAAATATATCAATTGTATCTAATCAAGGAAAATTATGAAAGATATCGTTGCGATTGCAATTCTTGAATCCCAAACTTGCGAATGGAATGTATAGTAGAAAATTTAATGATCTCATCGAATGAATCTGAGACAAAACTATGGAAAAAAAGATGACTTTGTTTTCTTTTCAGACAATTTTATTTCATAAATCCTTCACTTCGTGACTGAGATCTGTCACTTTCCAACAATATTATGTGTCACTTTTCTCTAGGGTTATCTAGGATCTTTTAATCCTCGTCCTTGATTACTGTAGGTCAACCACTTCGAGACTCATCTTCGAGGCTAAAATCGACAGAACGAAACTTCCCAAACCAACTTCGAACAGTGCGTTCATTAACACTATCATTGCCAATTGCGTAGTTGATTTTTCTGGCGGTAGCGCATTAGTTAACTTTGAATTCGTAATGAAAAATTGTCGGAAAATCGGTTCACGACATCAGAAATAAGCTGTAAAGAGGCAAACAATTTGATTTTGGGAAAAAAGAACAGCATCAATGTATAAAGTATTTACTCGTACCACGACATAGTAGAATAAATATTTATTGAGAAATGGAGCTACAGAAACACATGGCAATAAAACGGACAGAACTTAGTATTTTTCCCTGATGTTGGAGCCCCTGTAACATTTGACTGTTCTCAATTCCCTCTGCTAACGTTTTTTTTCTTTGTCAAGATCAGTGGACAGATATGATCAATCTTTATGAGATCTCTACGTTTGGAAATCGTATCCTAGTCCATGAGTTTGTCAGTCAGCCAAATTTCGTTATTTACAAAACAAACGATTAGTTCAATATGTCGCACGTGGAATTGTACTCGTAATTATAATTTTGTGTGCTCGCCAAACCCATTCCGCTTCATTTCACTCTACATATAAAATAACTCATACAAAAAAATCACTTAATTATGAGATTTCAATTCTGAATGGGATCAGAAGAACAGAACATACATATCATATTCGATGTTTCACTCGCCTGAAATCATTGCTTATAGTTAAACAAACGTTTTTATTTTTCAATGATCGGGAAATATACCTCTGATGTTTACAATTTTACCAAATATTCCAATTATGAAGAAAAATACTCATAACATTCTATTATATCTACGATCATACATTGAAACATAGCAAAAATAAAGATTTTCGTTGAAGAAAAAAAACCATTACATTCAGATTGGAGAAAATGATCTATATGGGACATATTCTCGATTGTCAATGCTTTGAAATATATGTCTATCATCAAAAAAATGTATGAATTTCATTAGTTCGGACTTCCATTGTCTGATATGGAGGACAATGAAAGTCCAAACTAATGAAATTCATCATGAAACATTGTCAAACACCTTCAAATAAAAAAATGTATATTCGTATATGATATCCAATGAGGAATATCGCTGGGATCACTTTTATATATACATTTTTTATAAATTCTGCTGCAAAAATTAGAAGTATATGGCTTTAGAGATATATCTTTGAAATGGTTCAGATCATACGTGTCAAACGTACTCAAAAAGTTAATCCACAAGCATCGGTTCTAGGCCCAATCCTCTATTGGCCTGCAATAATATAGCTGCAAAAATAAACCAATTCGCAGATAACACAACATTATTTTGACATTGCAAGAATGAAAGGAAACTGCTTGATTTGATTAGCAAGGATATTACAAAAATAAAAGACTGGTGTGATGCTAATCTCTTGTCATTCAATACCTCAAAAACTAGCATCATCACCATCAAGTGCTCCATACTGGATATTTACCTGGGTACTCAATCATTACTAAACGAAACATTAGGAAAATTTCTTGGATTTTGAAGGTCACATAAATAACCTATGTGAAAAAATTTCATCAGGATGCTTTGCAGTCAGAGTATCAACAAATGAACTGAGCACTATCGTGGCAAAAAATGTGTACTTTGCTCTCATTAATTCCCATCTGCGATACGATTTTTGGGAAACGTGTTACCAATACATGTTTGATAGGATGTTAAGAGGAGTTACAAGTAAGTGTAGAGTTGGATTCAGGCATTCCTGTCGACCTTTATTCACAAGGCATAAAATCTTGACCTTGCCTTTCATACTTATCTTGGAAATGGTATGTCTGATGCAAAAAAACATAGAAAGGAAATTTTTCTCATATTGAGGTGAGTTAGAATTGTCATTATATTTCAGAGTAATTAGTGTAAATTTCACTACTTACATAGTAAATGTTAATGCATGAATATATTGTTATAAAGTCGGCCGTCCAAAATTGGCTTTATACCGGTCGTCCAAATTCCAATAGTGAACCACATGTGGGTACGGGACCTGGCACACACGCCGACGATCACCGGTCGGCGTGTGTGCCAAATTCCAATAGTGAACCACATGTGGGAACGGGACCTTGCACACATGCCTTCCGGTAATCGTCGCCGGTAAAATACCGGTGAGCAGCCGTCCACTGCCACTATATCGCCGGGCGTACTTGACTAAATACACTCTTGCATACTCACCGGTTTTTTTACCGACCATTTCAGTCTCGAATGCTCGGTGAAATTGTAGTTACTACGCATTAACTTCGTTTTGGTAGTGCGTGCTAATTACGACAACAAAGCAACTGCTTGTTTGAACGATAAGAATCCGGTGAGTGTGCAAGCACCCGCTACCGATAAAATATCGGCCGATTTTATACTGGCCGTCCAAAATCGGTGTGTGTGCAACTAGCGTTAGTGTATGATTGCGTTTGTTTTTTATTTAATTATTAGGATGGGATGCCGTGACGGACCGGGACTGAGAAATATTTCGGTAAATCGTTTCAGTGTTTCTTGATAATATTTGTCATTTGTGTATAAAAAAAGGCAGTATTGTATTATAGCAGTGATTTTTGATAATATTATCAATGTGTTTTTAAAGTGTTTTCTTTCAATTTCAAGGTGTTTTCAGGTGTTCACTTTTTGGTTAGTTTTTTTCCATTCATTATGGATAAGTTGGACGAAATTAAAAAATCTGACGATATAGTCGATTGGTTCATTTTGGTAAGTTTTTTTTTCCATTCATTATGGATAAGTTGGACGAAATTAAAAAATCTGACGATATAGTCGATTGGTTGCTGACATATAATCTTATGATAATAAATTTCACATTATTAAAACTCTGGGAAGGCCTCAACCAAATTAGATTTCAATTAAAGCGTCAGATAATCGACAAAATATAGGATTCAATATTAGTTGGTACAATAAATGCGATTGCATAACCGGCTCCATTAAACGAGAAAAACTTTTTTGTTGGCCCTGTATTTTATTTTCCGTACAAATCGAATAACAAACGTGGTCTGAAATAGGATACTCTGATTTAAAAAATTTACCTCGTTCTACATAAAGACATTTTAAATCTAAGGAGCATATATTTTCGTCTTGTAAATTAATATTGTTTAGCAAACAAAATATAGCAACAGCTTTAGATACAGCTCAAAAAGAGGCCATAATTTCTTTCAATAATCAGGTTAGGAAAAATCGATCGAATTACGTATTCTGCTTTAAATAGGTGCGGTACCCCAAAAAAATTTCGCGCCTCCGGCAGGCTTTTTTGTGTGTATATAGATGTGTGTATATGACTTTAGCCTCCCCTGTTCTCCAATGCACGAGCCGTTACTGTCAAAGTGATACATCCATTCACAGTAGAACGAATCTGAATGACTTTGTCGGTAGAAGTATATAAGTAAGTTCCTCATAGTGTATTTTTTCACAGGTGCGATTTTGGATAAGCCTGATCCCCGGGACCATCCAGCAATCAAACAGGCGTTCTACAAAGCAGTTTCCGAAATAAATGAAGAAGATCCGGATTATATATTTGAGGCCCTCACAAGAGAAATAACAGTGAACAATCCTTTCGAATCGGTATCTGCCACCTGTCAGCTCTTACAGGAAGAGGTTGTTGGAATATTGGGGCCATTTTCGGAGGATAATTCAAATGTGGTTCAGTCCATTTGTGACTTGAAGGAGATACCTCATATTGAGGTGAGTTAGAATTGTCATTATATTTCAGAGTAATTAGTGTAAATTTCACTACTTACATAGTAAATGTTAATGCATGAATATATTATCTGGAGGAGATGAGGAAGAACGCATAGATCAGTCAAGAGAGTTCCTGTTTCCACAAAGGACTATATTGAACGAAGTATGGGTACTTTGGATATCTGTGGACTCATATTCTTCTTGAGAATTTACGGATAACGAATATTATATAATGACACATGCAAGTGCATTCTCATTGAAACTGGAAAATACACTGCCAAAGTATTCACAATATTCACTTCTACTATAAAGTAAACCAACTGCTATAATTTCCTTGAATTCAAGTTGTATTCTTCAAGAATTTGCTTAAAAGGAATGACTATTATCTACAGTATGACACACTTGAGATGAAGACACCCCTGTAGTTTAGTCATTTTTGAAAGCAGATATTTGATTTTTGGTACAGGCGTTGACATTTGTGAGCTACTTTTCGCAATACTTAGCGCGAGTGACAGCCTCGAATCCAGCCTACTGCGTTCCTACGAAAAGGATAAATTCTCGATATTTTGCTTCAGGTTGATGATACCGAAATAAGTTCTGTTTCTGTGAAGTAGGGAGTGTGAGAGTAAGCCCACAGCACTTGGGCCACATGTGATCCATTGTACATCCTACCGAGGAGTTGTCCTCCTAGGTTATCGTCCATCCTGTCCTTTCTAGGAACGTGGACAGATCTCTGGGAGACTTCTCCTTCATATCGGCAGTTATAGGCCAAGACTCGCCGAACACACACACTCTCTTATTGATGATAACTCCGGACATTCACATAGGACATGTCTGAAAGTTTCATCTTCCTGTTCACACATCCAGCATAGAGGTGTGTCCATTAGCCCCATATTGTGGAGGTGTTTACCTAGTTGACAGTGGCTAGTCAGAAATCCTATTGTTAAACCTAGATTTTTCCTGGTTATCGCCAGATATTTCTTCAGCGCCAGCTTTCCAGGATCGCCCAGGGTGGTGCTGGCAAAATTGCATCCTTTCATTTCATTCCATCTCTTTAGGGATTGAGCATGGGTGTGGCGTTTGGCTAGTTCCTCAATTGTCGAAGTCATCAGGCTGTTGGTGCCACTGGGTCCTAAAATTCTCAGTTCAGCCGCTTCCTTGGCTAAAGAGTCCGCAATTCGATTATCTTTACTCCTATCGTGCCTTTTAACCCACCTCAGGATAATGTTATCATCTACCGAGGCTTTGGCTAAATCTTGGTGGCACTCTAGTACTAGCCCTGAGGCTGTTCAAGGCTAACCGAAATAAGTTATTCGAAAAAATGCTCAAAATTGATTTTGACCCTACATACCAATTTTCAACCCAAAATTTGATATTTTTTTATTGTAATTTTCATATCAAGTCAGATTTTCAATTGAAAGTTTTAAATAAGGAGCTACGGAACTAATGAATTCGTTATAATTCAAGAATGAAATACTCAATATCCATCATGAAAAAGTTCAAATTTTAGTCATTAGTTACTAAAAAGCCACAGAGACATCAGTCGTAATTAAATGACAATTGATGAAGCGAATTCAACGAAAAATGAAATAAACACCAATAATGGAAGTCAGTTCTAAATATTACTAACTTGGCATCAATTCTGATACATTCTTCAATTCTTTTTCTATTATTATTGGCCACTCTCCTGAGTTCTGGAATACTTATTTCACGACAGGCTTGCTGTATTCGCGTGGTCTGGACTCGTGAATCCCATTTCTTGGAGTAAAAGTCCTTTGGAGTTTTGTTAGGAAAGCGAGGAGGCCATTGTTCATATAGGCAACGTAATGGAAAATTTTTGTTCAACCAATCTCGAACCATCCAAGAATTATGAACGGAAGCNTGGAGTAAAAGTCCTTTGGAGTTTTGTTAGGAAAGCGAGGAGGCCATTGTTCATATAGGCAACGTAATGGAAAATTTTTGTTCAACCAATCTCGAACCATCCAAGAATTATAAACGGAAGTTCCGTCTACCTGAAAGTACATCTCTTGTCACAAATTGAAGGGTAGATTCTCAATGATTACCCATAATTCATCATCAAAAACATTCAATAGACGTTCAGCGTTAGTGGTATCACTGAAGAAAAACGGCTCAATTATTCTATGGTTCAAACTATCACACCATACATGAACTTTTCGAAGGTATTGGTCCTCACAGTTCATGGTTAGATTTGTCAAAGCTGCATACACGTGACTGATAAATCAGTAATGGAGTATACGACTCCATTACTCCATTCCTGACTCACAGTTTATAACTCAGTGGAGGTTTTCAGTAGACCAGTATCTGCAATTTTGAGCAGATACTATTCCATTGCCTCATCAGTAAACATCAATTTTCTTAGGATATTTTACCATAGTCAAGTGTGTCCAAGAACTTTGGTTTGAAAACTTTGATTTATGATGAACGAGACAAGTTCTGATTTTATATCTACTCAAATTTAATTGCTCAGATCTTTCACGCAAACTGATTTGGGAAATGGTACGGATTGAAGCTAAGACATCATCATCATCATGGTACCTTCTATTTCGATGTGGACGATTCTTCAATACACTTTTATTTTGTGTAGAAAGTTTATTCATGAAGGCTCCTGTTCCATGTCGAAAACGATTTCGCCTCGTATGTCTTCTGTTGAAATCTTAGGCAACGTTTGTTACTATTTTAACGTATCAAACTGACATTCAGGGTATAAATAGTTCATTTGTTTCCATAATACTCTAGCCCAAATTGAAAACTGTTGAAACACAAGATATGAGACTGCTTTGAAAGATTAAGAATGAAGATTTTCCATCCAAAATAGACAGAAAACCTGAAAAACATCTTCCACACACTTCACAGAATGTGAAATTTCACAGCCAGATGGCTTTAATACTAGATTATGTTTATGAACAATTCAGAGTGAGCTCATCTGACTCAATTCATGAAAGCAACCCCGATAAAAAAAGTACTAACTTGTGCACTGAAGCATAAAAAAACAACAATGAATTTTTCAGGTGCGATGGGACGATTATCCATTGAACGGAACTGTGGTCAATGTACATCCATATCCAGATACCCTAACTAGAACATATTATGACCTCATAGTTGCCTGGGGATGGGAAGACTTTGTTATCCTGTATGAAAATAATGAAAGCTTGCAGAGAGTGGGAGAACTCATAAAGCTGTTTGAACCTTCCAAGCAAAGGATTGTGGTTAGACAGCTCAACAGTCAAGAAGAGTCTGAGGAAGGTTTCAGGTGAGATATGAATTGAAATAAATTGGTAGATATAGTGTATATACTGTACACAGTGAATAGAGTCAAAAAGTCTTCTTCAAACAGCAATTTCTGAGACGAATCAATGAAAGAAACTGCGTTTTTAGCTTCCTTGTTTTCTATAATAGATATATCGTTTATTGAGATTGTATTGAGTATTTTTTAAATATAGAAGTTTTTTCATCAAGGATATTATCTATTATTCCAGATAGCACTTATGTATTTAAAAGCGTTTTGTGTGACAATTCTTCATTCTAAACCATTTAGTGTAACACAAAGAATATTATTCTGTTTTCACAGTTCCACTCAGTTTCACAGTTGAGTCAATATCGAATATTGAATGAATAGAATAAAAAGTTACGTATGTCACCCATATTTGGAATAACGCAATCGAGAAACATGGAGAATCAAGAGCTGTTGCGCTTGTTATTTCTAAGGCCTTTGACCGTGTGTGGCATGCCCCCAAAGATACTAGTAAGACCTTGTTAGTCCTTAGCTCGCACAAGTTTCGACTTTTGGGAGTTGTCGTTCGTAGAAAGGCGATAGCCGGTTAACGGAAAAACAGATTTCAACAGATTTTTTTAAATATTATCAAAAAACAGCTGGATTTATGAGTGTCACCCTAAATATTATATTCCCTTCATGAGATTATTTTGGGTCTGAAAACATACCATGCATTTTTGATGTTCAATTCATTCAACCATTTTTTGTGGGTTTTTCATGAAATATTTTTCTCTCATGTCATTTGCTATTGTTGATTGCTAATCATTTCTAATGATACTTCTGACCTCTCCAGAGCTTCAATTTTTGAACGTGGTTAAGCCCCGATTTTTTCAGGTACTGCCCAAATAAATTGTTGAAGTAAAATCATTTAGTTGGAACGAAATATGGTGGCCATTATTAATGACCTCGATTCTTGAATTTATTTTTGACTTATTGAACAAACTGAGGCTTTCAACAAAAGATTTCTCTGTTGCAAACTTGAATCATAATATTTTTTCAACAATTTCATTTTGCTGCTAAACAAACATTCACTTCACTGTTAAAAAATGTATTCAAGGTCCAATATATTGTTGAATTTTATCAGTCATTATTAGTATATTACGTACCAAGTAGGATAAAAAGCTAATTACCCACGAGCGAAAAATTGTAAGCACTAGGCGTTAGCTGAGTGCGATAATTCGCGAGTGGGCGTAATTGGCCTCATCCTCGTGGTGCGTACTATACTTTTTCTACGACTAACCATAGAGAGGAATAGTACAATATGTTTGTTTGAGATTATGGCATTGGATCAGTCAGTCAGTCGGAGAGAAAATTCAATGATTTTAGGTTTTGGACAATGGGGAATGTTCCTCCTGACGAAAATCAAGTAGTTTTCATAAAAGAGCTCTAACACAACGTATTTTAAACTTATCATTTCAACCTTTTTCTTTAAAAAAGTATTTAAATACTTGCAATAGAGAAATGAAATAATGCATTCAACATTTAAAGGGATTAGTTTCTATTTCACCATTTGGCAACATTGGTTATAGCTAATAAAGGAGAATGAATCTGTTACCTGTATGAGACAAACAAAGATGACATATTTCAGAGGCGTGCTGTTTTGTTTACTTATGTTCCTAGTTCCGAGACATTCTGTGACATATGATATTTTGTGCACCTAACCTATCTTCCTCTATATAAATAAATAACAAAACAACTGTTGTTTATGTGGCTTGTGGAGGTGGTATTGAACTATAATTTATATTTTGCCTTAATTGTTGATTTATAAAGATATTTTGCTTGTGGAGGTGGTATTGAACTATAATTTATATTTTGCCTCAATTGTTGATTTATTAAGATAATTTTCCTTTTTTAAAATAGAATATCTAGATACGTATAAATTATTTCAACTTGATATAGGCGCTGTTGCCAATATGTGAATTAAAACCCAACATTTGAAACATCCATTTGAATACTTTTCGAAGTGAATTTGAAAAACTCATGAATTAAACTCAACTTTATTTTGTTTAAACTTGCATTTGCTGTAATAATCCAAATTGAGGAACATTTCCCATTGAATATATTTATGAGATAATATTTATGATAGTAAATGTTACATATCTCATAATGTTTTTAAATTTCTCACGGAAGTGGACGTCATTAATTCAGAATACACGTCCATTCTAAGTGAGCCATTACTTACTTGCTGTCAAACACTTGTGATTAGTTTAAAATAGTGGGAGTAGAAACCAACTTACCCATTTATGTTCCGCTGAAAATGATAATATTATGAAATAATCATGTCATTCCTTTTCAAATCATTTTGTAATAATTATTTCTTCAAGAAAACGTACCGTTAGCGATATTATTTGCTGAATTTAGTTTTCCTTATAAATTTCTTCACTCTCAGGAATGAGATGACAGCTTCAGCTAACACTTCGCCTATTCGTCATAAGGTTTCCTTCAATTAAATATAAATAAGNTTGAATTTAAATAAGATATCCTTCATCTCTGGTGATGATTATTATTATTATTGTTATATCACAAACGACACCAGTTTTTGGGTCGTAAGATAAAACGTAATACTTTTTTCATTTCCCTCGTAACTCTATCTTCAAAGTGCTATCTTGTAATCTGAACAGCAATAAAAAGTTTCATTCATTTATTCGTTTGTTATTTAGGACAGTTCTAAAGGAAGTACGGAAATCTGGAGCAACACATTTCGTGTTAGATTGTTCGTACGAGATACTGGAAGAGGTCTTACGTCAAGCACAACAAGTGGGTCTGATGACTGACAAGCACAACTTCATAATAACTAATCTCGATTTACACACAATCAACCTGACGCCATTCAAATATAGCGAAACCAACATCACCGGGGTAAGTAACGATATCCATGGAGAATAATATTTGCATTTGATACAGATATTACCTACCGATGACAATTACACAGAAAAAATACTAATGTTTCTATGATAAACTTCAACGTTAGTCTAGTTTTTTACAGAATATGGGAAAAATTCTACCTATAAAAAACTTACATACTCGTATTATGAACATTCGCAAATCTCTTGCATAAATCACGTACCAAGTCATGATCATTTTGACGTTCGTTTCTTATAGAAAAGGTGTTAACACATCTGGAATCTACAAATGGAAAGTAAATACAGGGAAAATGAGAAAATCAAGAATACTAACAATCCCGAAATAGTCACATAGTAAGTTTGAAAAGAAACTAGACAAAAATTCAATAAAATAACAAACATTTACTATAAAATTCAAAATATAATACTGATAATTTGTAAAGAAATCAAATGATTGTGACTTATTATTTTGTTTGAATCAATAAAAAAAGATGAAATAATGAAAATAAATGACGAAAAATCAAATGATAAGTAAAACTTTATTAAAGCAAGCTCCTTCACGACGTTTCGAAAATTTGTATCCGCAATCGGCTTCGGATGATATTTGATGGTAAATTCCTGATACTCTTAAACCATTCATAGGTCACTTGCGAGACTTTTCTACATTCTGCCATAATTTATCTCCATTATTTGTTTGAAGGTGATTGACAATTTTTCGTGGTGTATTTCATCAATTCGAACTTCCATTGTCTAATAT